CTAAAGCCTAGGGAAAGCCAAGTACCCACCTTTTATAGAATACTGAAGTAGGTACATAGAATCAAGCTAAGGCAAGACAAACAGAGAAAAATAAAACTTAACGTTTAAGTCTTCTCCTATTATCTTTAACCTTCTTATGGGAATAACAACTCAACTCTGTGGAACTCACAGTAATTTAACTCCACATGATCCTATATATTTTACATTCATGCAGAATGCATCTGAAACATCTATAGTATTGACTTCAAAGAAACAATAGCAAGTTCTTCTATCATTCCTTGTAAACGGTACCCTAAAAAACTAAAGGAACATAAAAGACACAAAACCTGATGATCACATGTCTCGGACTAGCTACATATATTCTTAGTTCCTCTAGAAATCAAAAAGTTATGACAACATTTGAGGAAATCACCTCTCTATTACCCTAGACCATAGCTGAATAATGTCACAGAAATAAGAACAAAAATGTAGTCTTTAACATTTTCAAGAATAAACCTCTCAGCTTTACCTGTATTGGGATGAGACAACCATCTCTAACATCTCCTTATATTATTCAGTTCGGTCACGAACTTGATGATGTTCTCTTGTGATCCCACTCAGCACATTGATGAAACTGAACTCATTTCAACTATTCAAGAAAACCAGTAGAAAATAAGAGGATAGATGAAATATTAATGTGATTAGTTCGACAATCCATCACAAAACGAGAGCATGGAACAACCCCAAAACTCATAGCAATGACAAGAGCAAGATAAACATAAACATAAACTCCACGACTTGTAGATGGAACAAAAGTCAGGACAAATGGGATATATACAAACTTGAAACGAGATTCGTATGAAGAAGTCATAGATTACTCAAATACAGCTAGGGCATTAAACCATTACACTGAAACCGACCCTCCCAAAAGATGGAAGGACATTGAGTCATTCAAGCCAAGGAACAGAACATTGGTTTCTGCTAAACATGGGGCTCGTCAAAAAAAAATTGTCGTATAGAAAAGTATTCAGTTAATGACTTGTATTCGGATAAATCTGGACAAAAACCTTATTCATTGGAAAATTGCAATAAATTAATGTAGAAAGAGAGATGCAGACAGGACGATGTAATACAAAACTTTAGTATGAATACACATTAAAATGTACAAAGCCTAACATCACTTCTACAAAAGACTCCAAACACTACTTTTCAATGCTGGATGTCTTTTGTGAAATATCAAAATAGAATTCACAAGTGGAGCACAATGGTAAGCCAGCCAACAAGAACTACTTCACACAAGCCTAACATGGCTACTCATTCCAAAGAAAAAACTAAGAAACTTTTTTAAATTTTACCGTCCGTGCCCATGTATAATCGAGTGAGTGACAAACGTAGAGTCAGTGGCCGAGGAAGAAGAGTAAAAGGATGCTGACAAGGTCTTGGTAGTGGGGGAGGCAGGGAAGGAGTTTGATCCGATGATCAGTGGGGTAAAGGACCCGATACCAGGAGAATTTGGGGAGATATCAGGCAGCTTTAGGCTTTCATTTAAGTATTGCACAACTTCTTCCATGGAAGGTCTCAGTTCTTGCACCGCATTTGTGCAAAGCAACCCTATTTTCAGTACCATTTCGACTTCCTCAGCTGAGATTTCACCTTGCAATCTCGGATCTCTAGCTCCGAGCAAAGAAGCCATTTTCCAACATTGGCAGACCCATAGAACTAAATACTGTCTATCAGCTGGTAACCCAGGTTCAACGGGTCTCCTTCCACATGTTACTTCAAGTAGAAAGGCACCAAAGCCATAAACGTCGGTTGCAGTGCAAGCTCCCATTGTAGCAAGCTCCGGTGCCATGTATCCTATGGTTCCCACAGCGACAGTTGTAGCAGGGTCCGCCCCATGATCATGAAACCTTGCCATACCAAAGTCCCCTAACCTTCCATTAAATTCTGCGTCTAACATAACATTAGAAGCCTTGATATCCCGGTGGAGAACAACTTGGGGAGCTCCTGTATGCATGTAATTTAGAGCTGAAGCTATATCCTTGATGATTATAAGTCTTCGACGCCATGAAAAGGGCGGTTTTCCTTGATGGAATAAGTATTGGTCAAGACTACCATTGGGCATGTATTCAGATACCAGAAGTAACTCACCTTTTCTTCTACAGTACCCAAGAAGTGGAACCATGTTCTTGTGCTTCAGATTACCCATGCTCACGATTTCAGCCACAAACTGCTTCATCCCTTCCTCTGCATCGTGGGACACTCTTTTCACTGCTATTTGTCCATTGGAAGGCAGAGTTCCTTTGTACACTTCTCCAAAACCTCCTTTTCCAAGAAGTCGATCCTTGTGAAACCCGTTCGTTGCATTGTACAGAGCTTTATAGGAAAAACGGTGGGGACCATATTCCTTTTCCCATTCCTCTTTTACTTCTGCAAATTTCCTTCTCCTGTAGACATAAGCTGCTCCAAGAGCCAAAAACACTATGACTGCCAGTGATATGAGCAGAACAATAAGCAGTTCTGTTGGTCTCTTATTTTTAGCTCTATGAGAAGGAACTCCAGGAAGTTTAGTGACATCCAGGGCCTGCAATGACACCCTGTTACTGCTAAAACTCCACCCGAGTATGTATTGGTAGCTGATCAATGTCCCGGTTGCTCCAGAGAACCCAATAAACAACTTTTTATCTGGAAAAGTTTCTGAAAGGTTGATGGATCTTGACAAAAGAGGCTGACTTGGCTTCTGAATTTTAAGAGGGGCCAGTGAAACATTAAGTACACTTCCTCCGTAGTCCACCCAGACTTGAATAGGCTCTCCACTCAGAAGCTTTATGCTTTTGTTCTTACCTTCTATCTCGGAAAAGTAAGCAGCTGGAGTGGATGCGATAGACATAAGGCTATTGACATCGATTCCAACATGATTGGCATCGATGTCATCGAACTCAGCGCTGAGGGCAGTATCTAGCTCAACAGCAACTAGATGAGAAGAGGGGGATCCTTGAGTTGAGATGTTAAAAAGTCCCAGGAACTGTGTTGCATCTGCCTGCGTGAGATCCATGGAGGCAGATAAAACAAAGGCAATACCATGACCACCAATAAATCCTGGCTTAGGAGCCAGCGCACACACAAAATGTGTTGAGAAAGAGAGTGATTCAGATGAATTGAACTCAAACGGCTTCTTGAAGAAGGCATGACCCATTTTCTGTCCGGTACCATCCGTCAACTGCAACAGTCGGTTGGGAAGAATTTTGGCGACCCCGTCGGTATAAAGGTCTGCTTGGCCAAAACCATTATAGATAAACCCTGTCTCTTGTTGACTTGAGATGCAAATCAGATGAAAACAGAAGATCATCCAGATCAGATGCATTCCTTGAGCCATTTCTGTCGGAAACAGAGGGCCTGACTATTCTGAACGAATCTTGTCTTCTGCACCAATAGTGGATGATAATTTCTCCAATTGCAAAATACGGTCAGGCCAAAACCTCTCACTATATAATATAATGTCCAATCTTTTTCATTGCCAAGTCCACCATAATTTCTTAAGATTTATACCCTTTGAATTTGGCGAGAACAATGAAAACATTTGATATCTGACCATTTCAGAGCGGACTTAGAAACTATAATGATATTATTACATTGACATTCTGCATTTGCGTATTCTAAGCCATCAAATATTTTAAACATAACAACAGCTCCTAAAATATTAAACTTAAGGTGGCTATAATAATAAAAAAATTGAGACTTGTCTATCATTCCCTGGTTTAAGAATATTCTCCACTACACCCCTATCATCAAGAATCTCTTGTTTAATAAGAATGTTTGTTTAGTTTAGTGCTTTCTAGGACTTGATCTGTTCTTCTTAAGTCCAATATATTTGCAGGTATAAAACAATTCAAAGCCAAGAAAACAGTTAAACAATTCATATCAAGCTTGAAACCAAAGGCAAGTCTGCATCATGTAGACACCAAATATGAACACCCTTGATTAGATATAGACAATATAGTGTAAACTTGGCTCAAGTCAACAGAAAGCATTTAAGATCTTCTTCTTCATTGCTTTCCAGCTCTCATTTTCATCAAACCAAACAATGATTTTGAACGGAAAGCCATCAAAATTAGACATGATTTTATCAGAACACAAGTTGAGCGAATAATATACCTGTGCATAGGCCTTTGGGAGCAGATCAATCATTAAAGATAAGAAAGAGAAGCTTCCTTCAACCCCCATGGCTCTGAAATTGATTTCCCTCAATTTAATGATTGATCTGAGAAAGAAAACTGCCACATCATCTCCGCCAACCAAAAACAATTTCAACCAATCAAAACAATCCACTTAA